GGGGTGAGTCCATGTTGGGGATTTATAAGTCCAGGATTTCTCATGTTCCTCTCAGTCTGTGACACTCTGTGACGTATTGCGAAGATATTTTCACCGTTGGCTCCTCTTCTCCCAGTACGATGCAGAGTTTCCTCGTCTCTTCTATAGAGGTGAAGTCCGGGATGAGAACGGAGAGTCTCTTGAAATGAGTGTCCCTTAGTGCTGAGTACTTGGGGCACTGTAGGAGGAAGTGGACCTCATCTTCCAGGGCCCCCTGGTCACACTGCTGGCACAGTCTACTCTCCCTGGGCTTGTAGGTCTGTCTATGACGCCCTGATTCTATTTCCAGGCTGTGGGCGCTCAGTCTGTACCGGCTCAGGATTTGTCTGTCCTTGGGGTCTTGTAGTACCTCTGTAATGATTGGTAAATGAGGAGTTTCTGGGAGTTTGCTATATCATGTCTCCATTCTCTGATATAGTTTTCCCTGGAATCATTAATCATGTCCTTTATTTGATATTTTGTCAGGTTGCAGTCATGGGAGCTTTGGATGAACAAGGTGGATACGAGTTGTTGCAGCCCACATGGTTTGTGGCCACTTGGCCCCTCTCTCTCCTCTCTTCTCAGCCATCTCTCTTCTCAGCCCTCTCTCTCTTCTCAGCCCTCTCTCTTCTCAGCCCTCTCTCTCTCTCTTCTCACCCCTCTCTCTCTCCCTCTCTATCTCTTCTCAGCCCTCTCTCTCTTCTCAGCCCTCTCTCTTCTCACCTCCCCCCTCTCTCTCTCTTCTCACTCCTCTCTCTCTTCTCACCCCTCTCTCTCTTCTCACCCCTCTCTCTCTCTCTCTCTTCTCACCCCTCTCTCTCTTGCCAATGACTAGGGAGATCCATATGGTCAGTTTTAGAAGGTTTTCATGCTGTGACAGATTTAATTGTATTGGAGAGTGCCATGTTCCATAGGCCAGGAGTGACAAGTTGCCATAGAGGAAATGTAGCCAGTGGGCATGGGGTACCATTTTGCCAGTAAGTTCCATGTAGTCACAAGAGACTCCATGTAGTCACAGAGGAGCACCGTGAGAACTAAAAGTTTTCACCGATAGGACCCTCCTTACCATCTTGTCTTCATTTGTATTGTAACGGTAATGTCTTCCCTATATTGTAAAGCACTGCGCAAACTGTTGGTGCTATATAAATCCTGTATAATAATAATAATAGTATCATACGATTAAACGTTAATGTTGTGATATTGTTGTCATATACAGTATTGTCATAATCTCATGTCATAGAGGTTCCATAGCCATAGGTTATCAATAGCCAAGAATTCCTTGTTGATAGAACCTAGGCATGCACTCATACCTGTTTTTCATTACCAAATACCAATACCGGAAGTCCCATTAAGGAAGCCGGGCGGCGTGTAATGATTAGCCGGGAAGCCGTCTCCATCCTCCCTTGTCACCAGGTGACGAGGAAGCATGGAGCTGGCTTTCTGGCCAATCAGGAAGCCAGGCGGCATGTAATGAGTCGCCACCCCGCTTCCTGATACCGGAAGTCTGCTATCGGGATAGGCCCCAGGAGCATTTGGGCGAGTATGAGTACTAGTATCGGTGCATTCCTACTAGAAAGATAAGGTTACTAGAGGTGTGAGGGTTGTCATATATAGAGCTCTGGTGTGCCTAGTTTCTGGTGGCCACAAATGTATCGTGTTGCCAGAAAAGGGCCAAATTAACACAGGGCCTGTGCCACAATATGACCAGACAATAATATGGAGGCCAAGAGTTGCCACTTTCCAAATGACTAGAAAGGTGCAATGTTATTGGTGGTGGCCAATTTAGCAGAGGTCATCATGTGTCTCGAGATGACAATTTTCCAGAGGGGTAACTACTTCTGACATGCCCACCACCCATATCGGCTAATGGGTACAATTTGATACAGAGTCAGTGTATGTATATGTTACTCAAGGCTATTTTACATAATTGTCATATTATACATGTTATATTACAATTCTTTTTTTATTCTGGTCTGTGTCATCACTACTGGGAGATCTCTCCTCAAAACCTCTCCCTGAGGCCACTTGAGTTAGGGGAATCTATACAGAGCAATATATACAAAGCAAAAAAAAAACCTGACAGATGGTCTAAGTTTTCCAATTCTTCTAAAAAAGTTTTTTTTTATTGTTGTGTCTGATGGAAAGATACTACTACTTTTTCTGACTGCCCCGGACTGGACCGCAGGCACTGATGTGCCACGCCTTCCCGTGCGGCCGATCGCATTGCGGCCGGAGGGCGTGGCTGCAGTGCCATTGAGTTCAATGCACAACCACGCCCGCTCCCGCCCCACAGCAAACTGAGACGGCCGGAATGCGATCCAGTATGTTCCAGCCACAATCAGGCCGGAACGCACTGAGGATGGTATGAACTAGCCCTCAAGGTAAGCTAACTCTTCCCAAATGTATCTAAAGTAAAAAAAGTTTCTGCTGCAAGGTCACTTTAGAATTCTAGATTAAAATGTAACTCAAGGTGTATATTTAGGCAGAACTTTTTTGTTAATTTTGGAAAGAGAAGGAAAGAAACAGAACCTGTTTATTGTTGTCTGTGTCCTTGATATAGAGATCCTCCTGTATGTCCTGGTGACCATTGTTAACAGGACTGAAAGTGTGAAAAAAATTATGAGTTGTCCCTGGAATAGGAATTGAGGGGAAATCTTACAATATGAATGTCAGTTCTGGTGACAACATTGTAACAGGGCAATTCCCCTTTCTAGAGATTTCCTTTCCCTTCATGTTGTGTCTTGTGACAAGAAGTGAAATCTCCCCAATGGGACACACAGAAAAACAACGATGGGTTTTTAGCACTTCACAACATGAAAATGGCTATGCTCACACCAAGAGATTATGAATACAGTAAATATTGAGAATGAAGTGTAACATTTTAAGAAATCTATATTTTGCAATTCTTCCATTTAGGGTATTTCCAAGAACATGTATCCTAAACCATAGCATCACCTTAGAATTACCACTTTTGTGTAGTGTTTTTTATGGTACTTTGATAAAACTAGATATTATGAAGGTCACTAGATGCCTGCAGATCCTTAGCTTTGACTGTAGGTTTCTATGTGGCATTTTTAGGGATTGTATGGCAAGCCCTTGCACAAACCTGTAGGGCTAGTTCACACTAGCCCCAGTGCGTTCCGCCCCGATTAGGTGCTAGAACGCACTGGATCGCACCCCAGCTGGCTCGCTACGTTCTGGTGCATTTAAGTAAATGGCCCTGCAAATCAATGCCTGCTTTCCGGTCCAGTGCTGTCAGAAAAAATGTTGCATGCACAATTTTTTCTGACCGCACCGGAACACAGGCATTGATTTGCCACGTGTTCTGGTGCGGGCGATCAAACTGTGGCCTGGGGGTGGGCGTGGCTGCGGTGCCATTGACTTCAATACAACCAGAATGCCCCCTCACACCCCAGAACACAGTGAGCTGGCCGGGATGAGTTCCAGTGCGTTCCGGAACCGAATCGGGCCGGAATGCACTGGGGCTGGTGTGAACTAGCCCTAAAGGATGCTCACTCTTCTACAGAGAATGGCAACAGCACTAATATTTTCTATTTCTATATTGTCTGACTGAATTTAACCAATGTCCTAGTCATTGTATGAGCATCAAACCTTTTGTTTGAGGTCCTCGAACGTCTCCTGTGATTGTACCATAATGCAATTTAAAAGAATTATGTTGTGATACTGGTAACCACAATTGTGCTTTTTATACAGTCAGACATTTGAAGCCAACCCTCAAACTGATTGACAAACCTGACATATTCATTGGAATACCTGACTCCAATTACACTATTTTCATTATTTGTTATTACATAGTTACATAGTATTTGAGGTTGAATAAAGACATTAGTCCATCAAGTCCAACCTATTAGGATCTCATTCTAGGAGTACCTGTACCCCCTGTATATTACGGTCCAAAAGTTTCTTGAACAATTCCACATTATTTGCTGAAATCACCGCCTGTGGCAGTGAGTTCCAGACCCTAACTGATCTTACTGTGAAGAACCCCCTTCGCCCCTTGTGCTGGAATTTGTTTTCCACCAACTTTAGGTGGTGGCCTCTAGTTTTTGTAATGGAGTTAATTTTAAACAGTTTATCGCTAATGTTGCTGCCACCATTGAACATTTTGTACATGGAGATCATATCCCCCCTTAATCTCCTCACCTCCAATGTGAACATGTTTAAATTTAGTAGCCTTGTCTCGTAGCTCTGGTCCTCCATACCCCTAATTAGTTTGGTTGCCCTCCGCTGGACTTTTTCCAACTCAAGGACATCTTTTCTTAGTACTGGTGACCAGAACTGGGCCGCGTACTCCAGATGAGGTCGAACCAATGATCTATAAAGTGGCAAAATTATAGACTTGTCCCTGCAATACATCCCATTTTTAATACGGGACAAAACCCTGCGTTTGCGCAAAGTGTTGGCGCTATATAAATCCTGTATAATAATAAAGATGCTCACAGTTTTTTCCCATTATTCCCATTATTCCCCTTGATTGTATAAACTATTTTAATCTTGTATGTGGTGCTTGTTATTGAAACTATCTTCATAACTTTGGCTTTTAAGTATGAAATAATATAACATTTTAGGAGCCCTTTCTACAGAAATCTAGAAATGTCCTAAAAGTGTATTTCTACTTTTGTAGTCAAATTTGAGAAACCCCCACAACTTGTTTATGTGTTCCTAGTCACACAGCATACTGAAAAATATTGTTTAAAAAATATATTTCTTACCTTTTAGGTGTTTTGTTGCAGCAGGCAAGATGGCTGAATCCAAGTTTTTCTAAGCACCTTCGCAGTGATAAGTTCTTATTGCAAGACAAAGGACAGGACTGTGTGGAATGTGTTCCACTCATTAACATTCATTAACATACAATGCAAAAGCCAGGGTTGTAATCCCTTTACCCTTTGTTAGGACAGGCAGTGTTTAAATCAACTTTACAAATTATAATGAAATCAGACAACACAAACCCCTTTACAGACCCTCCTAATATTACAAAGGAGAAGCCAATACAGATTTTAGCAAGTAAAAAACAATTTAAACGGCAAGAATTTTTAAA